ATAATTATTTCTAATAAATCATAAATATAAAATAAAAAATAAACGTTAATGTGATTACGATAATTTTTTAAAAAGCAAGGAACATAATCGACAAGCTTAGAACCAACTACACTAAATAAGTATAAAGCATTTAATTTTTTAAAATAAATAGCATAATTATTTCCTAATAAATCATAAATATAAAAAATAAAAAATACTTAATTTCTTATTTCAATATAAATAATTAAATTCTCCAAATTATTATCATCTATTGAAAAATATATTAATAGTGTGTTGGCATTTTTTGTTTTTTTTTTTTTTTTTTTTTTTGCAGATCAATACTAGGGGTGGTCAACAATGTAATCGTTTTTTTTTTTTTTTTTGCAGATCATACTAGGGGTGTCAAAATGAATCGTGACACGCGAACCTAATTCGCTTAACACTCAAAATAAATGGGTTAGAATTGAGGCTAAACATGTTCGTGTTATAAACGAGTCACCCATTTATGACACGAATATAAACGTGCTGTGTCGCGAGTTGACACGTGAGTTAGGCGAGTTATTCATTTATTTAAGAGTAAAGAAGTTATTTTAGTGTTAAATATAAATATACCAACTAAAACCTATTTAAATTATATTGTTGTATTACTTTTTTATTTAGTTATGAATCTTGAAGAATTTATGCATTTTATTTATGAAAATTTATGTTTAAATATGATTGGAGTTAAATAGGTCAAAATTTAAAAATATTATAAGCAGGTTAAGTGGATTGATCTGTTTATGATATTAAGCGGGTTGCAGAGATTGTATATGGGGTCAACACGACTCATTTAACCTGTTTATGATATTAGGAGGGTTAAATGTGTTGTATTTGTATCACCTGCCTAATTTTCATGTCATGTTTGTGTCGATAAATTTAACACAATTATTAAATTGATCGTGTTCGTGTTGACCCTAATCGTGTAACGTGTTAGCAAATCCGTGTCGAACTTGACACGCCAACCCATTTTGACACCCCTAGGTCATACTATGTATGACTTTTACTATTGCATATCTTGGTAATGCTTTACAAGATACTTAAGAAGACACATCTTAGCATTGCAACTTTTTCCGCATATCTCAATGAGATACAATTTTGTAAAGCATTTCACAATCATTTTATAACAATTTTGTAATTTTTGAAAGATGTTATAAAAAATTATTCCATCCTTTAATATTGCTTCGCGCATTCCGCGAGTTCTAATACTAGTTTTTACTTATCTTTCGAAATAAATAATTTATACAAGTTTTATATTAGGGCATCGATGTTCTATTTGTTAGCCTCCTTTGTTGAATCCCTCCTTTGTTGAAATTATATATAATATATATATATAATATATATATATATATATATTATATATATATATAATTTAGTTTTGCTCAATCCCACATCGGGGAGAAGAGCATGTGAGGGTGGTGAATTGGCTATAAAAAGAATCCAAGGTTTAGGTTTCTAAACACACTAAAAACACTTGAATGTGTTTTATATTAGGGATTTAGAGCAAGTTTTTTGGAATCCCTTGAAGTATAAAATATTTGGGGTGTTTTGAGGGTGTCGGGTAGAAAATATTTTGTAATTGTGGTTGTAACAATCTGCCGTATAGTGAATATTTTTCTTGGTTATCGTTTGGCAACGGCCGTGGTTTTTTTCCACTTGGAGAGTTTTTCACGTTAAATTATCATGTTATTTATTCTCTTTAATTTCTCAGTCATTACTCTTTAAATTTTCTCAGTCAATTATTTAATTTTCTCATTTGTTCTGCTTTGAAGCCGTGTCCGAAGGGCAGGAAAAATAGCGATTTTTCCCAACAAGTGGTATTTTATTAGGCGGAGCCTTTTTTAGTGTTAAAAATAATTTCTTGTATTATAAGTATGCACTGTGGTTGCGGCTTTAGTCTGATCTTCCTACATCAAGAAAATACTGTTGTTAGGAAATTATTTTATTTTAAAAAGCAGGGTGGAGTTTTGGAAGGTCCCTTGAAAGAGGGTGGAGCTTTGGCGGAGCTTTGCTTTGGTGTGCTTGAGTACCGGTGGTGAAGGTCAGACGATAATTATTGAAGTTATTCTGGTACGAAAGTTTTGATAATATACCGTGCACGCAACTTCTGTCTAGAAGGCCGGATTTTAAGTGGGACCACTTGTGACCCCTCCGCCCAACTGGGATTTTACATGGAATGGTAATACTGTCTAGGAGATCATTGTGGTCTTTCCTTGGTATTGCCGAATCGGTTTACTTCACTAATTATTGGGTTCACTATTATAAGCACAAGTAAGCATGTCGGCTATGAGATGTGAGATTGAGAAATTTGAGAAATTTGACGGGAGAATGAATTTGCACTGTTGCAAGTGCAAGTCAAAGACGTGTTGATTCAGTCTGGACTGCATAAGGTTTTGCAGGGTAAAGCAGTCAATGGAAAGAATTTAGGAAAAGACAGTAGTAGTGGAGACTCAAAAAAATCCAAGATTAGCGATGAAGAATGGGAGGAGCTGGATATCAAAGCAGCAAGTCAAATTCGCATGTGTCTAGCAAAAAATATTCTTGCTAATGTGCTTGGATTGTCCACGATGTGGATTTGTCCATGACAAAGGATTTGTGGGGGAGAAACTGGGAAAAGGAATGGTAACCAAAGGGAAAAAATATATACAACAGCGTTAATATTTTTGAAGGAGCAATTTCATACGTGTTGAAAATGGGCGGAAGAGTACAAGCTGTCAGATCACCTTTTGAGTGTCCTTACGCATCGTCTCTGAATTGGAAACTCTTGGAGTGCTAAACCAAAGAATGAAGATAAAGCCTCTCCGTACTCATCCTGTCACTTCCTTCAAACATAATGAGCACATGAAACATGTTTTGAAATATGGTAAGTGAAGGAAGTGGTGTATGCGGATGTGGTTGGTAGAGCTCAGTTTATGAGGAGAGAAGACTGAATGAAAAATGAATAAATAAATCATATGGGAGGATTCAGCTTTATCTGTCGGTAACCTCCAGGAAAAAGGAATAAAAGCTCCGAAAAGAAGGAAGGTTGTCTCCTGCTTGGGTTGTGGTGCAAACTGGACACGTGAGGAAGGAATTGGCCCGAACGGTGGAGCTGAATTCGGCTTGATTCGGCTAGAAGCTCTAACGTTGTTGCTGCCAATGTGATCTCTTGTGGCGAAGGAGATGATGTGTTCTCTCTGTAATTGAGAGATGTGTATCCTCATGGCATGATTGCTACCCGTTGAGATGCCATCGAAGAGGACGGATTATTGGTAGCTGGTCCACAGAAATGCGCACGGCATTGGTTGACAGTTGATGCAAAGTGTGTGTTGGAAAAAAATATGTCGATGGCTAATAAACTCTCGAAAAAGTCAACAGGAGGGTTGCACCATAAACTATTAGCGGGATCCGACATGGCCGATGGAAAATTCTTGGAGTCAGTAAAGTGGTTCCAAGTGGCGATACTCTTTTATGGTGGAGTGTGATAATTCTTGACGATAAGAATTATCATTGTCGGTAGTAGACAATGCTGTGTCTTTGTTTTATTTTCAAGGTGGAGATTATTAGCCTCCTTTGTTAAAAAAAAAATTATCTTTGTTAAAAAAAAAATTATAGTATATATATATAGTAATAATTTAAGTTTTGCTGCGAATTCCCATATCGGGGAGAAGAGCATGTGAGGGTGGTGGATTGGCTATAAAAAGAAGCCAAGGGTTTTAGGTTTCTAAAACATAATCAAAAACACTTTGAATGTGTTTTTCTAATTAGGTGAATTTAAAGAAGTCTTTGTGGAATCCCTTGGTGAGTAAATAAATATTTAGGGTGTTTTGAGGGTTCGGGTGAAGAAAAAATATTTTTGTAATTGTGGTTGTAGCAATTTAAACCGGCATAATGGAATATTTTTTCTTGGTTGTTGTTTGGGCACCGGCCCGGTTTTCGGGTTTTTCTCCCACTTGGGTAGTTTTTTCACGTTAAATTATCGTGTTATTTTATTCTCTTTAATTTTTCAGTCAATTATTTTAGGGATTTAAAGCAAGTCTTTTGGAATCCCTTGGAGTATAAAATATTTAGGGTGTTTGAGGGTGTCGGGTAGAAAAATATTTTGTAATTGTGGTTGTAGCAATTTACCGCATAGTGAATATTTTTCTTGGTTGTTGTTTGGCAACGGCCGTGGTTTTTCTCCACTTGGGTAGTTTTTCACGTTAAATTATCGTGTTATTTATTCTCTTTAATTTTTCAGTCATTATTTTATTTTCTCATTTGTTCCTGCTTGAAGCCCGTCCGAAGGGCAGGAAAATAGCGATTTTCCCAACACTATTTGATAATAATATTAACATTTATAAATAGTTTATATTCATATGTTTTATAATTTCAAACTTTCGACTAAGTTATAATCTAAATACTTCATTAGTCAACGTTCAAAAAGAAAATAGTTTTATCAAGTTAAATGATTTAATGGGATAAAATGTTTCTTTAGTTGTTAAAAATTAAAAAAATAATAAAAAGAAAGGAGAGGAGGCACAATCTAGTGAAATTGCACAATTAATTCCCTATTCTATAAGTTAGACTTACCAAGTCAAACGATTTTGTTGGACTTATTATTTCTTTAACAGGTCAATGAAAAGAAAAATAGTAAATAGTCTGAAAACTCTTTTCCCGAGATATTATTTAAATACAAACATAAATAATTTCCTTTTTATTGAATTTCATGATCTTCAATTCTATACTATAGGATATTTACAACAATTAAAATTGCATTATAAGCCCGAATAAAGTTGCGAGTTGAAATCTACATTTAACTATATTTTTCTTTCAAAAATATTTAAAAAATTCATATTTTTAATCATAAAAATATTGAAAGTTCTAAAAATAACTAAAACTCAAATCAATATCTAAAATATATAAATATTATAAATATTTTCATATTTTTTTAATTATATGTTGTAGTCTTTTCATAAGTGCCCCAAAATACGGTAATGGGATCCAAAATATCACTAGCAATTCACTTTTAAAGTAAAATCAGTTCCCATCAAAGATTCCAAGCCTCAAATCAGCATATTAAAAATACTAAAAATTCTAAAAAATAATCTAAAAATCAAATATCTAAAAGTGATAGCACTGCAAGAATAATCATGAGTTGAGAAACATGTCCTTACAACCCCCAAAATATCATTAGTAATTGAAAGACCAACCACTTAAAAAGTAAGATAAATTCCAGTAGGAGAACACAATCCTCAAATCAGTACCCAAGCTCACAATGGAGTTCCCAAAAAGAGTTGCCTCCAAAAAAAAAAAACTACTCCTTTGGCATTTGTACCTGAGACATCATAAAGCAATAGTAGAGAGATTTTATGTCAAATACTGCAAACTAGTGCTTAAATACTACAAAATCACCATTATAAGCCCGAGCAAAGTACGAGTTGACATCTACTTTTAACTATATTTTCTTTCAGAATATTAAAAAAATTTCATATTTTTAACAATAAAAATATTGGAAATTCTAAAAAAAAACTAAAACTCAAATTAATATCTAAAATATATAAATATTCTGAAATTTTTTATATTTTTTTCAATCATAGCTTATACTTTTTTCAGAAGTCTAGTGATATTGCATTAACTATCATATGTTGGAACCATTTCCTTACAAGATCCCCCCAAAATAAGCTAATGGGAATTCAAAATATCACTAGCAATTCACAAGTAAAATCAGTTTCCCATGCGAGATTACAAGCCTCAAATCAGAACCCAATACACAATGGCCAAAAAGAGTTGCCTTCAAAAAGCTACTGCTTTGGCATTTGACCTAAGAAATCATAATGCAACACTAGAGGGGAATTTTATGTCAAAATACAGCAAACTAATGTTGAATGTATTAGCAGTAAACAATGGGCATATAACTAAAGCTTTCTTTCATTACCTTTAAAAATTCTGCAAACACACTTTCAGTGATGGAGAATTCTTAAGAAAGTAAGCTAGGACACAGCCAGGTAGACTAACATGCTTTCGCCATGTACGTCCCAACTTAAGATACTTTAAATTGGAAAACTGCGACGGATGCTCATTTAGTGTATCAGGAAACATGGAAAGAACCTGAAAAAGTTAAACTCATTAAATGTAATGACTGTAAAATAGTAGAAAATAATACCTCCAAAAAAGAAGTTTTTATAGTTTTGAATTATGAAATAATTAGCAAGAAGAAGATTATGAAGTAAACATGCACTTTATAAAAGTTGCATACCATAATAACTGTAAAAATCAGGTGAAATATAACTTTCATGTATTGGTTATATTTTGCCCCCAGATACTTACAAAAAATGGTTCTACAACAATAACAATATGAATTAAGCCTTAATATTAAACTAGTTGTAGTTGGTTCTACATAGATCTATTTCTTTCATTCTGTATATCTAGAGCTTTCATTACTACTTATCCCATGTCATCTTGGGTCTTCCACTCCCTTCCCATCTACTTCAAGTTGCTCTATAAGATAGTGCAATTCATTGAAAAATAAAATAAAATTAAAAACCAAAACTCAACATGGGTTTAACCACAAATGATTGCCCCTCCTCTAAGTATTCTAGATGCTATCATCAACATAATTTTAAATTTCAAGGGATTTTCTTTAAAAGGTTTTATATTTAATAGAAACTAATAAGTTCAAAGGACAAGTGTAAAGTGTGAATGCAGTAAAACATATGCAACCAAATGAAAGTGAGGTTGCAGGAAACTGTTCCAGCCACAATATGACTTTTTTCTTATCTGTTATTTGCAGAGATTTTGCAAAAATAAAAAATAAAAAATAAAAAAGATCAACAGTAATAGACACCAATACAATTACTCTTTCAAGACAATTATAAATATGAGAAAGGTCCATATTTCTACAAAGAAATAGAAACTTGTCTCTGTTGATGGTAATAACAAAAACTAGCAACAAATATAGTTAATATAAGGGAGATGCCATTATTACTTAGGATTCTTTTTAACAACTTAATTCACAACACCTTCTACCACCAAACTGCATAAATCAATGCTTAAGTTGCAAACGCATTAAAGCACACTTACCTCAAATGTATCCCAGGATAAAGTGATGGATTTTGCATTGTGAAACTCATTAAGCATGTTGACTAAATTAAGACAAAACTCGTCGTCTGTTTCATCCTGATTAAACTCGAAAATCAAATCGAAATCCACTTCATCAAGGGAGTTAAGATTGTTAATAGAGAAGACTACAAGCTGACCAGTAGTAAACTTGAATTTGGTAAGCTTTGGAGCAGAAATCATAAACATGGGATCATCAGTCTCGCTAATATCTAAAACCAAGCTTTTCAAATTGGGGGCATTAATATTGAAACTTTTGATACCATACAAGAATAGGTCCTCAAGTATAAGAGTTTCAAGATTTGGACAGGTTGAAAAGACATTCCCATCAAAATTTCCAAAGTAAATAAGATGTAAAGTCTTCAAAGATGGCAACCCCAAGGATGTAGGAATAGTAAATATGCCTCCGTGAAAGTTCAATTTTAGCGTTGTTAACGAATTGCAACTGAAGAAACGAGGAGATGACTTCATGGGACCAACTCTTAGATCTTCTTGTGTAGAGAAAAAGCAATCTATATCAAGCTGTTTAACCCCAAGTTTCATTGCATAACCAATAAAAGATTCTACTGCAATAGCTTTAACATTTAAATATGACCTGATGATGAACTTGTCAATGGGAGAAAACTCACGACGCAGTAGAAATTGATTGATAAAGTTAGTGAAAAAAAGCGATTTAGAGCCAGCAATGCCTGTGTTGATGATTTGGTCACTGAATTCAAGAGAAGGAACAGAAGTCCATAAATACCTCCATCGTTTGCACAAAAAACTAGTACGAACAACATCAATGGCGTTCAGAAAAGAGAGGATGTGATGGAGAAGAGAATCTGGCAATTGGCTTATTCTGTCTTCTTTCCTGCTTACCGATAGCCTTATCTTGCTCTTCATTGTAACTGCCATATTTACTCCTTGATTTTACTTATTTTTTATGCGAATAGCTAAATCTTGCCCAAACGCAAGATTTTCTGGTTGCCACGGATTCTGGAAGAGGACGAATAGAATTGGGGATTACGATAAATTAGTACAAGACATTAAAAGATCAAGAAAATATTAATTCATTTTTTTTTTAATTGCTAATAATATCTTAATCTTTTGGTATTTTCGATAAAGATATTAATTATTTTGAGAATTGAAGTTATTTAATAAATTTATCAGCAATGGTTATTGCCTCACAATGATCACCTAAATTGTCTTATTTGTCCATATTTATTTATGCAAAATGTCATTTTTATCTTCACTTAAAGTTATTTAATTTTGATAGAGAAGAGAATAGAGAATTACAATCTAAATTTCAAATCTTTATCTATCATCTTTTAATAAACCTAAATAAAACATTTAATGGGTGAAATTATCATACATATCCTAGACATTAATTTGTTTTACCTCATTAATTAAGAAATCATATTATTCCAATTGAATTGATTATTTATAAGACACAAATAAGCATAAGCTGCTCAAATTTTCTTTAAATTATATTTTTGAAGATTTGGAAGGAAGGTGTATCATATTGTAATAAAAACTATATGAGACTATGACATGTACTATATCGTGTGTATGACATGTACTATATATATATATATAAGGAAATATATAAGGAATAATGAAATTTTTGATATCACATTTGGTGAAATTTGGATGTTGTGAACACCTAAATTTTATTTAAGTTAATTTAATTATTAACTTTATTATTTAATTAGCCAATTAAATTATTAGTTAGTTAAATTAAATAATTTATTTTAATAACCAATTAAAATATTTTAAATGGTTATTAAAATAAAATTATAGGATAAATGTTATTTATTGCATAAATAAATAATGTAGTAAAATCCAACATAAATTTGCCAAGTGACTAATTAAATTAAATATTTTGTGAATAAGTCAAGCGTTTGCATAAGATAAGTGACACCGCAGCAGCCAATGAAGCACGCCAAGTGGACCAATCAAATTATATACTTGGCAAGGAGACTTCCTCAAATCTCCATAAATAGGAGGCATGTCTTCACATAAGACACAGACACATAGAGACAGACAGAAAAGACGCCTCAAAACTCTATCAAATTCAAGACTGCAAAGCTCTCTTCCAAGTCTAAAGAATCGAAGTTTTTTCAACTCTAATTCAAGATCAAGTCTCTTCGACCCTTGAATTCTTGAAAGCTCATTCCACATCAAATCAACATCAAGTCTTTTCGACCTTTGAATCATGTTCCGAGTCTCATTCTATATTGATCCAAGATCAAGTCGTTTAGACTCTTGAATCGTGTTTGCAACAACAAAGAGAAGAATCAGATGATAATCTTCTTCGTAATAGGATATTCCATATAGAGATTGTATCCAATGATTTTTTATAAATACAATTTGTATTTTGTATTTTATTTCTTAATTTTCAAGAATGAATTTTACGCGTAAAGATTTCTAGCATGCTTATTGGGACATCTCCACCTCTCATCTCTCCTCTTTGCAAACCTCAAAGTTTCAACAAATCAACCAAAAGATTCAATTTTTGCAACCTTCAAAGTTTCAACAATCAACAAAAAGATTCAATGGCACTAAAGAGATCACACTGTTACCTCAAAGGGCCACACAAACTTTCACTAAATTCCTCTCGATTTCGGATCTACTACTGAATTGAGTCCTTGATGGTAAATATCAAGACAAAGCCTGTCGCTGAAACTCAAGCGCGATGACTCCTCAGCCTCAACAAATCTGTTTGTTGCTCTCCATATTTCTAGTGGAAGTTCCGCAGAGAAAAGCGTTCCCAAAACGCGGAACTACTTTCAACAACAAACTCTTTGATTTCATTGTTCCTTATGTGACTAAAATACATCAGTAGGAGACACTGGATGCTTTGACAGTTGCAAACTAGCTAGCTCTCAAATCATGCTCTTCATAAAGAAAGATTAGCCAAATTACCTTCCTCATTAATCATGTAGATAACATGGACATGAAAAGCTCAGATTTCCGAAAAGGATGAATCTGCACTGGAAAGGTTACCTTTTTCCATTGAAAAGAGATGCCTCAAGGAGACCTGAAAAAGGTGTTTAAACTTACTGCTGATGGCTCAATCTTGACCATTCAACGAAGGAGTTATTTAAAGAAAAGCTTTGAAGATCAGTTGAGAGACTACGAGCCAACCTTCCTATGACCTATTTCAAAGGCCCTTATGCTTCAGAGGATTGATATGATGAGATTGCCATCAATAGGTACCAACTCCTAAATTTCAATAATCTTGATTAGAAAACTCGCCATCCAATTTGTTCGGCATTTGAAAAGGAAACACATCTTTGATTGGTACACTGATCTAAAGCCTAGTTCTATTTGATAGCTTGGACACAACTAGAGCTGGGAATTTCCTCAATCGCTTTACAACACCACAATGTTGTAGTTAGTATGATTGAAATCACTTGCTATTTGTCAATGGAAGGAAAATCCGTTATTGACTACATCGAAAGAGGGAGAAGTCTCATTCTTGATTACAAGGATCGGCTATCACAATCCTAAGCAATTGACAGTGCATTAAGAAAGCATGCCACTGGGCTTTGCCACTACATCTTACAAGGGATCAAGCCTTCTCATAATTTTGAAAAGAATCGGCTTACTTAGGTCATGACATGGATGATTTATATTTTCATATTTTATGGGAAAGATTGAGCCAGATGTGCAAAAATTTGCTTACTACTCAACCAAGTCAGAAAGGTAAGCAATCTATGGCCTGTAACAACGTGCATCAAGTTACAACCTAGGATTAAGAAGAGCAGAATGTGAAGGCCACTCCTTTTCAGCAAATAAAAGAGAAAAATTTGCTACATTTTTGAAGAGAGGTAAGAAAAGGCTTACCTTTTCCAAATTTCTGGCGTTTTCAAAAATGTTGATGAACATTGCTTAAAGCTAAAACTCATCAATTGCTAGAGATGCAAGCGCCTGGAGGAAGCAAATTAAGTGGTTGATCCAAACTATTGCAAGTATCATAGGCTATTAGCATCAGTTGGAAAAAGTGCCGTGTTTCGTTTTGAAGGGAGAAAATCCTGGGTTGCAAAAGTATGGTGTCTCATGTGATGACGGAGGAAGGCAAACTACCAATTTTGACAATAATAGTAGTTGGATGATCGATCGATCCCCATAAGAAAAGAAATAATAGGTTTGTCTCTTTTGACCCGGCTTCAAGTTGAGGTGTTTATTTCCAAAACCAAGCTTCATTCTCCAAATGAGGTTTCGCTTGTTACAAGGAGATTGGAGCACCACTGGGGCAATAAGCCTATGAGAATCAATTGAGATTGAAGGAGGACTTTGGTCACTCACAAAGAAGTAAAAGGAGGAACCACTTCCATCTAAGGCAATTTCCCAAAGAGGAGTAAGATGTTAGAAAAAGTTCGTCAAGTCAACCACAATTAACTTCCTCAAAAAGATTATAACCAAAGTTCTCAAAAGCCTCAAAGATCTTTGAACTACGAGTTAGAAGATTACGTAGAACAAAAGCCTAAGGCAATCAATTTACTTTGGGCGAAATACATGCAAAAGGAGAACTGGATGCTGAATTGTTGTTTCACATTGCTGTTATATTGAAGGGAGCTAAAACAAGAAGCTGTTGAAAAAATTCACCTTACTATGAAGATCGAGTGCTTTGGTTTGATAAAGCCCTATAATCATCCCTTGTTTATTACAGGTTATATTTACAAAAGAGGGTTTTAATCGAATCTTGATTGGTCTAGTTTCAACCGTCAACATGTGCCTCTCAAGACTTCAAGGAACTTGGTATACCAATCGATTAAACTTGAAGTTAAAAGTCGATTTGATCGATACATGGCTTCAATCAGAATGGGCCAAATGGTTGTTGGGGTTTAGAATTACAGCTTTTCACTTATGTTATTGACGAGTTGGAGTTCAAGTGTTCTCTCCATAGTTGATTGATGCAAGAACAATTACAACATATTTGTAGGAATTTTTGTGAGGATTTTATCGGAAATAAGGTTGTTGCCTTTCAATTGACCATCAAAATTTCAAGTACTCAAAGGTGGAAATAGTAAGAACCAGTCCGTAGCTAATTTCAAAGTTCGTTCACTAAAGTTGGATTCAATTTCGTTGATGCAAACGTTTCTAAAACTTTAAAGAATTTTTTGATTGTAGGAATTCAACGGCTCTTAGGAATGCAAAAGTAAGGGCTCCTACAAAGAAGATTTGAAGAAGGAGAGTTTCTCCTCAGCAAAAGAAAGAGGACATGACGCCTTTAGCAAAAGACGAGAAAACAGTCGTTAAAAAAATAAAGCGTATGTTTTGTACACTGTCTCAACAGCAATATGATAAATCTTCTTCCTCAAAATCAAGAAGATATTAATTATTGAGGCTTGGAAAGATTTGACTCTACCAGTTCACCAGTCTTGTTTCCCTAAAGTCTTTAAGTCACCTTTGAAAGGTTTTTATAAGGTTCTTCCAAGAGTTCGATAGTTGACCTTGCAGCATTGTTAGCAAAGACCCTAATGCTTACAAACTATTTGCTAAAAGCTGGGGTACAATTCTAATGATGTTGGCCAATATCTAATTGGATGTGGAAAAGTGTCATATTTAATAATAGTTGATACTAGATGATTTCTTTCATTTAGAGTTATCAAGTAAAATATACTATTTTATCTATATTTTTAATTTGCAATATTTATCTATTTACTAGAGCTATTATTTTATAATAAATTTAATACCTTCAATCAATAACTTGTTTTCCTATTATTTACAATTTATTCTCTATATATTTTTGTGTAATAGAAGTGTGATTTTCTCAGTGTCTTGGAGCTAGCAGGATGCACAATTTTTTCCTGTCTTAGCTTCAATTTTAGATAGGAAATGAGTCCCAAATTTCTTTAACTCCAGGAGTTCGAAAGAAACTCAAATTAATAAGTTTTTACCTCTAATTTTCAAAGATAAAATTCTTCCTCTTTTGGGTCACTTTTAAGAGCAAATTGCCTTTTTAGGTTACTAATATTGCTTCAACCAAATTCATTGAACAAATAGTGTTCTTCATAATG